GCAGCGCTATTTAAGGCCACGCCCCCTACATGAACTGTGCATTCCTCCATCACATGCACAGATGATTTCTAGAACCCTGGACCACACTTTAAGCCCAGAGCACAAGACTAATGAAGCCACACATTTTTGATTGTTCAATAAAATAATTTAAACTTGATAAAGTTCTACTTACAAATAAATCTGTTGAAATGTCATTTTTTTTAATTGTATTATTTTGTATGGATTTCTGCTTATGACAAAACAAAATGTTTATATTTATACTTGGATATGATACAGTTTGATTAAATTACCCTCAATTTCCAGTTAATTCCCATAAATTCCCATAATTCCCATGGAACGATTCCGATTTGGAATATTTCCAAAATTCCCCAGCTTAACTTCCAAGGGAAAGTTTACAGAAATGTAACTAAAATTTACTGGAAATTTTACACCCCTTTGCAACACTAGACGAGAACGTATATGACCTGAAGTCTCTTCACACACACCTGCCCAGGTGTCTCACAATAGAAGAATTGTTCAAAGTAACACAGAAGTCTGAGCTCTTCTGAACGCGTCTCTCTGTTTGGATTACAATAAAAACAAAAAACTCCCCCAAGAGGAACAAATTAAAGTGAATGTCATGATGAAAGGTGAAGAAAAATACACTGACAGAGTTCTGTGTGTCTGCTCAAAACAGGAACAACACTGCTGGGTTTAACTTTCATTTTTGATTTAACCAGGACATAACTTTCTTCAAGAGTGTCCTGGTCGAGACGGGCACAGTTTACAGAGTTTCAGACAAACAACGAGCAGCCACACATCAACCAATCATTATTTACATAGCTCCAATTCATAACAAGTGTTATCTTGAGAGGCTTTACCAAAGAGCATATGGGATAATATGCAGGAAGGATTTCTCTTTTGTGTTCCTCACGTTTCTGTTGTCCACACTTCCTTGCCGCTGAGGTGGAGGTCGGAGCATGCCGTGCATGAATGAGGACGGCGGTGGTTGTGGGACGACAAAGTCTGATGGTGGAGGCTGTATTTGCGCTGACTTCCAGACAAACCCTCACAAGTGTTTTTTGTCCAAATGCAGGAACACAAATCTGACCCTGCTGGATTCTTCCGGGGCCATGGTGTCCATCGACCCCACCATGCCGCACAACTCAGAGAGGTATCCCTATTGATGTCTTTATTGATAAATTGATTGTTTGACAGAACCTCGTTGAGTCCAGCAGCCGGCTCTTTGATTGAAGGACACATTTGCTGATTGGCTGTAAATCCCCATGTCCTCGCCTCTCCTTGGCTGTTATACGACCACGATGAGCTACTGTGAAATGTACGATTCATAAGGACGAAACACAAACTGTAGCTGAGTACATCTGAAGTCTTGTTGTCATGTAAAGGCCAATATTTGGTGTATTGGTTTAAACATTCATTTCATGTTTTCACCAATAGGCAACCAACGGTGCTCAAGATGAATCCAAAGTAGAAGTGAAAAAACCTGCAGTTACTTGAGTGTAGTGTTACAATGCTGGATGCCCAAACTAAACGTGGGCAAAGTTACAGATCATGAGGTAAAGACATGTTGGAGTATCCCATGATGAGTCTGCAGAGTGTGCTAAACAGCTTTTTCTGCAAATCACGCCATAGTTCCCCGATATGAAACAAAGAACTTCCCCAGACGGCTTCGAGCCTCTACGTAAGCCGCCGAAAACCTCTTATAGACTCTCTTCTCCTAGCTCTAGAGAGCAGCCTCCCCTGGCAGCCCTGCAGCGTTATGCCCCCCTTAAAGGTTTCTAGAGAGCTGGCCAATCATAAGAAAGTGGGGAGGGGAGGGGGGTCTTAAAGAGACAGTAGCTGAAGGGAAGTGTTTCAGGCCGAGGCTGAAATGAAGGTTTTAGCCAAGTGGCAACCTCCAGAGTTGAAAAATGAAACTACTGTGACAGTTCAAAAACAAAATCCTACAGTTCCTTGAGTGTCCACTAGAGGCTGGCTGCAGAAGCACAGGAAGTCACATACACACCCATTCTAAAAAAGCCTGTTTTTACAGCAGAGATGAACATGTTTACAGCCTGGTTCAAAAAAACAAATATGTCTGATTAGCTCATGTCTCGATCTGCACACACTGTACGGGGGGGTTAAAGAGGGATTAGAGTTATTGATTGGCCGAGCTGATTGACGGCTCTTATACATATAAGGAACTGACAGGGAAGGGAATGACACAGTGCCTGAATAGACATGGGGTCATCAAAACCAGGTGTGACAAACAAGACAGGTGAAACAGACGAGGGTTATCAAACCGGAGGGAAAACACACAAGGACAGGAAGTAAAACATGGAGGGAAATAACTACAAAATAAAACAGGAAACACTGAAAACCTACAAAGAACTATTACAGTAACAAGCAATACCAGATACATAAACAACTAAATCAGAAACAAATGACATGTTGCTTGTTAAACTGGAGCTGCTGTTTGAGCTGCAGCAGAAGTAGAGTTACAGTAAACTTAAATTGTTTGTTACGACCACACTCTGAGCTTTCTGTATAAAAGAGCAACGTCCTCTGTCACAAAAAGGTCTGTCTCTGCAAGGGATCCTTTCTTTAATGTTGTCACACACTTATAATAACAATCTGAGCCTTTTGGTGGAACAGACGACCCTCCGTAGTTGTATTACTCTGATCAGGTGCAGGTCCATTTTTTTGTTTTACTCGAGCGATTCCAAACCCGTTTATACCTTATTATTCTTTTGATCCTTAGATATGTACATAATGAGCCCATGTTTCTCCTTCAAAGGGGCTTTATTCCATGACTGCCATTTTATCAGAAGACGATGCAACAAGTTTCATTATCTGAGGTGGAAGTTTAATAAGTTGCTGCGGCTCCCGGTGACCTTCAGAGCGACGACAGCAGCTTGTGAGGCGTCATCTGAAATTTTCCACTTTGACCAAAACGAAAAGATAAACTCTCCCAGTTTAACTTCAAACGGGAAATCTGAGACCTGACGTCAGTATGCACAAGCTGCAGGGACATAAAGAGCATGAAAATGTGTGTGTTTGTGTGTGTGTCGGCATGTGTGTGTGTGTTTGTTAGTTTGTTATCTTATCTTTGTCTAGAATCTGAAACATCATTTAAGTGTTGGTAATCTACCTTGTAAACAGTGTGTGTGTGTGTGTGTGTGTGTGTGTGTGTGTGTGTGTGTGTGTGTGTGTGTGTGTGTGTGTGTGTGTGTGTGTGTGTGTGTGTGTGTGTGTGTTCATGTGCACGTCTGTGTGTGTGTATGAGTAAGTGACAGGAAAATTACAGCGTGCCTGCTCAGAGGACGAATGAGGGACTTATTTTAGTGTCACACCAGCTCTGCTCTCAGAACTAACCCTGTGTGTATGTGTGTGTGTGTATGTGTGTGTGTGTGTGTGTGTGTGTGTGTGTGTGTGTGTGTGTGTGTGTGTGTGTGTGTGTGTGTGTGTGTGTGCGCGTGCGTGCGTGCGCGTGCGCGTGCGCGTGTGCGTGTGTGCGTGTCATGTTGTGTTGAAGGTCACCGTACAGAGTGGTGCCAATGACTGGAGGAGAGCTCGCTGGTGAGTTCCAGGGACCACACACACACACACACACACACACACACACACACACACACACACACACACACACACACACACCTAAACAAACCCTCTCAAATCGAGCTTTAAACACCTTAAACTACAGCAGGTCAGAGTGTTACAGGTGTGAGAAGCTTGTTGTTAATATAACAAACACACATGTAACCATGGTAACCTGCCACACATTCAGTCAAATTCTTCTCGTCCAGTTTGTCTGAATATTTCCCAAATCATTGTAAACTAGTCATGGGACTTCAGATTTCTACTTCTGACTGCTCGGTACGAATATTTGACCAAACATGTTTTTGGGGGCACAACATGCACTAATCACTCTGCGTAATATGTGTCCCTAGTATAAACCTCCCAATGATGAGAAAAGTCAACCCTCTCCGTCCTTTGCCTGCTCCACTTTTCAGAAAATGTGTGCTCAAACAGGCCGTTGATGATTTTCCCTTCATGACATCACAAAGGGCAGTAACCCCTCCCCCAGGTGGGTGACACTCCCACAGCTAGGTGTTTGTTCTGCCCTCTGAGTCTGCCTTCTCACCGTAAACAATAGGACATGGAGCGAGAAAGCCAGGGACACCTAAGCCCTTCCACACACACACACACATACACACACACACGCACACACACACAAATGCACACACACACCTTGACAAACATCTATAAAACCACTGATCTCTCTCTCCACAGTTAAAGCTTTAAAAAGCGTTTTATGGAAACTCCTCCGACCTCCTCAGTCTGTGCAACACAACAACAAACCTCATCACGTTTTTTTTATCAGCAACAATCATCCACACCGCCTAGGAAGGATTACTTTCTCATAGTGCAACATGTAAAGACCGTAAAGCAATATACTACAATATGGTTCACGCATCAAACTTTTATTTTAAGTTGCTAGTTGGCTGGCGAGCTCTGCGATTGGATCTCTGCAATTTGGAACTCTCCCCGGTTGGGAATCATCTGACTCTACCCCTGAGCCACAGCCCCCCCTTAATACACAACTTTCTTAAAACAGGTTCAAGAGTGCAAACTTTTTAAAACAACTTGGTCTCCATCCTCGTGTAAAATGGCGACATGCAGCTCCTCTGAATAGAAAATGCAGACGCACTTTACAACTCCAGTCATGAGCAGGTTGTCTACAGCCGAAATGCCCCCTGCTTGCCGATGGCTTCACTTTTAAACGATGAGGCCTCCTCCAGTTTTCATATTAAGTTGATAATAAAAACACGTTTTTAAAGTGACATAGCTTGCGTAAAGACATGATGCCGTTTTGTGTGTCACCTGAGAGCTGCCTGCCTGCAGCGATCCAGTCCTCTGAGTCACTCCAGCTGCAGCGGCTTAATTAATCACAGAGAGGAATTTTTTTTAACAACTCTGTTTTCAGTCTGCTCTGACCTCTGATTCCTGCATCAAAGAAGGAATGTGAGTGACACAATGTACTAGCTGCCATCGGCAGAACAATATCCTTTCCTCTTTTCTTTTTTTACAATTTCTCGTAGCTGAGAAATTATTGGCACACCGCGTTGGACTTTGGCCACAACAGTAGAGCTGTGGTCCAATGGCAGGGCTTTGTTTGTGTGCTGCGGCTGTGTGGGAAAAGGAATCAGAAGAGGCTTGTTAACACATCAAGCTGTCAGCCGGTTCCTCTCGTCTGTGCCGAGCAGAGGAGAGGAGGCACATTTTATTTATCGTTTGTCTTCTCACTCTGCCGCCTCGGCCATCTGTTGCTTGGGCGCTCTGCAATTGGCTAAAACAAACTCTGCGTGTTTTCATGACGGTGTGTTTGTGAAGCAGAAACGGAGTGCGAGCGAGTAAGGAACATTATCCCTCCTCACTTTTTCTTTTGTGTTTATAGCGATAAATCTGCCTCTGTGGGATCAAACCTGTTTATACCTGAGTGTGTGTGGTCCTTCAGTGTGTTGACACTGTGTGTGTGTGTGTGTGTGTGTGTGTAGGTGGGTGTGTGTATATGTAACAGCTCCACACTTTCTCTCTCTCTGCAGATAAAGAGGAACTCTTTCAGAATGTACTGACGCAAGTGGCCGAGCAGTTTTCAAGGTAAGCAGCGGACCGATTGTGCTCACACTTTCTCTGTTAACTCTTTAATCTGTGGACGTTCAGACGTGTGCAGACGGTCTCTGATTAGTGTTTGAGTCGCCGTAAATCACCGCTTTAAGCTTCTATTACATTATTGTTCTTGTCTTGTTTTGTTAAGACCAGCCTGAAAACTCAACCTTGATTTTCTGCTCACTGACGGTTCACCTTGCGGTTTATGCAATCCATTTTTAAAGCACACCTATTAACTGCTGATAGTGATCAGAGGGACACTGATCAGCTGTGTTTACACATCAAAAGGCCTGCGTCATAATCCTGCTGGTATGCTGTCTGAATAATTTATTCATGATTAATCAAGTTGCAGGGTCGGTTTGGGATCTTTTCATACACAGAGACGTTTTGAAAACAAAAGATTAGACCTTGGTGATTCTCTTATTCCTACTTAAAGCTCCTGTGTCAATCATTAACTGTTAGTAGCGTTATCTTTAATGCATGAATGAACTACTCCAGGGTCGGTGTGAGACGTTCATTAATCGCAAGCTGCAGAAACAGACTTTAAAAAAAAAAAATCTGCAGCAAAGATTCTCAGCCTGTACATTTTCATGCACAGTTAAAGCTCGATTGACCATCACATCAGACGACTGATCCTCGTCCCAGTTTATAGAACAAGAACAGCTGTTGATGTTGTGCCTCTGGTCACTTCCTGTCAGCACCTGTGCTCTGCCTCTGGTCACTTCCTGTCAGCACCTTTGCTCTGCCTCTGGTCACTTCCTGTCAGCACCTCTGGTCCCTTCCTGTCAGCACCTGTGCTCTGCCTCTGGTCACTTCCTGTCAGCACCTTTGCTCTGCCTCTGGTCACTTCCTGTCAGCACCTCTGGTCACTTCCTGTCAGCACCTGTGCTCTGCCTCTGGTCACTTCCTGTCAGCACCTGTGTGTCCAATCAGACTTAAAGCTGTTTGTTTACACTTCCTGTCATTGTCTGCTCCTCTCTGGAACCTCTCTTGTGTTGTTTTTACTCTCTGATGTTCGTCTCTTTTGATAAAAGCGTCTGATAAGTGGTTTGTAGAAATGTAGAAAATGCATCGACGTACATTCAATTAATTGACAGAAGAATGTCCGACTCCACTACAGTAGGTGGCGATATTCCCCGTTTCAGCTAGTCACTATTGGACGTTCTTCCACTTCACCTCGCTAACAAGTTTTATGTGGTTACAAGTTTACAGCTCTGCACATTTCTTGTACATACTGTACGCTTTACTTTTGGTACACGTGTTCTGCACGCTGTCCTTCTAGCTTAAGACGACAACATGTTTTCTGCTATGCTAAGCAGCTGCATAGTTCAACTTCTGGGTCAAAGCCCGGCACTTGAACTTGGAGCATGCTCAGCTCAATTTGGGCCCGATTGAGGTGCACAGTTTATCGACTCAAAACTGCTTTATCAAGGCGTGTTAGTCCAACTGTGTTGCCATTGAGTATTTGAATGCTTTTTAAAAGTGCAGTTTTAGTCCGACTAACCCAATAAAATCACTTTTTCTAACGGCATGAGTGAGATAAATGTGCAAACAGAATCTTTCAAACTGCTTTCAGAGAGGGGAGAAAATACGGCTGCACAACCTCTGATCATCACGTCACACAGCATGAAACAGTCAAGAATTGAATCTGAATCAAGCAGCCTTGTTTGGAGCCATCTGAGTCTTTTTACAATAACTGGTCACGCCATGTTTCTGTAACATGGACGTTAGCAGTCTCATACAACGTACATTAAATGGGGAAGCTGTTGGTTACATAACATTACGCCAACACTTCTAATAAATCGGCTCTAATAATCCTCTTCTTACCGTAATCAGTTTTACAGTCAGTGACGTTTTTACTGTAAGAGGTTTCCTCTCTGTTTCATAATCTCAGGAGTCTGAAGGGCGGCCTTGATTTATACCGGAGCAATTAATCCTTCAAAATAAAAGTTACAAGGTTTTCTCTGCAGGGCTGCAGCCTTTACCCAGCAAGTCTGATAATGACTTCACTGCATCGGCTCTCACTTCAAACAACTAGCACAGGGAGCATTACTGGGAGACACTGGTTGATAAATCATCGATTCACACTTTGATGTGATAGAGCATATGTTCACCGAACAGGACGGGAGAGGGAAAGACGCAGCACGCCATCAGATCCAACATGCAGGATGTTAATCTAAATCAGAATCATTAGTACTTTATTCATCCCTAGAGGGGATATTAAAGGTCCAATCAGTAAGATGTGTAGTGAGTGAGATGATAAAGTGACTTAACTATATGATCAGACCGAGCCGGCCCTAACCATTTTGGTGCCCTAGGCAAGATTTCAGCCGTTGCCCCTTAAATTATAGCCAGTTTGACCACCAAAGTCAAATTCATCCAATTCATCCACTTAAAGAAAACTGACATTCAGCTTTACATTTAACATAATTCTTTATTTTAAAAATAAAAATACTTCTAAACAAACATGAATATATTGGTAATAACTCTCATATTTATTATAAATAAACACAAAATAATATAAATACAAATAACTAGTGTAACAGAACAAACAATACCAAACAGTTTAGGGAGCAGAAGTGGTCACAGACGGCCCGGGTACAGCAGGGGATGGATTTAAATGTTTTATGATTGTATCTGGAGAGAGAAGATGAGCATTTGTGAAACAATCTGCATTTTATAATATAGTGTGAACACAAAATATTATTTTCTCTTCAGAGCAGTACAGAAACCTCAGCATAGTTTTTCAGGTGAGCCCAAACATTTTCCTTACAACCAGACCTACAGCATGCACAAATATCTATTCAGAGAGGAACTCTAGCACAAAATGCATTCATGCTCTCAGACATCAATACTCTAAAGTCAAGAGCTTAAAACTATTAAAGACAACATTTTCTTAAAATGTATAATCTTTACATTATGAAAGTACAGTGGAAATAACTGATATTAACTCGAGCTATTGATTAGGAATTAGGAAACACTGATGTTATCTATCCATAACAAGCTAGCTTAACTACCACAGATAAATAATTGATCAGTGTCCTCTGTGTCTTTTTCATATTTTTCCTCCTCTTCTTCTGTTTTGTCCCTGAGCTCCCGAGGGCTTTGTTGTTGTTGGTTTTTTTTTACATCACGCTCATTTATAAACGTAATATTAATCGGTACACTCATTGTCACTCACTTCTAATAAGTCGCCTGCCCTCCTCCTCCACAACGAGCAGGTAACAAGCAGATGTGTTGTGATGCGCTGCGTCAAGCAGGAGGCAAGAAAATATAAATATGTGATGGAGGCCTAGTTTTGTTTTCATGGCTTCTTTTGTATCATTACTAAACAATAGCACGGAAATTATATTAGATAAATAATATTTAGTGATATTTAACCGCATTTTTCCTTCTATTTCTTCTTCTTATCTTCAACTTTTCAGCCTCACTCATTTGCCTATACTGCCTATGCCACGGGCCGGCCCTGTGATCAGACATTAAGAACACATGCTATGTTGAAGTGCTGGCTTCTCTGACAACAATGCAGCAGCCAGTATGTCCTTCGAACTTTAGGACGAGCCTAAACTCTGCCACATCCTGTCGTGTCCTGAGGATTGATGAAAACAAACTTCTTCTCTGCTCGTCTCCTCCTCGAAAGTAGCTATTTTCCAGACTATTGTTTTGGTCACATAGCAACATGCGTAGCTGCTTCTTGCTCGTGCACACAGCGTCCTATCTGAAAGGTCCTTTAGATATATAACAAATAAATATGTGCGGACTAGAGTCATCACCTTACCGAGTGATAGAGCAGCGCAGGGTTATTTGGAAAGACTTCATTAAATACTTCAAACAGGTGTAAACATTCACCTGCAGCAGAGAGGTGTAAAGATTCACAATAACATAGTTTAGAGCCATAAAGATCAAAGTCTCAGATCCTGATAATCATCTCTCTCTCTCTCTCTCTCTCTCTCTCTCTCTCTCTCTCTCTCTCTCTGCAGGGCATTCAAAATCAACGAGCTGAAGACCGAGGTCACGAACCGTCTCGCCATGTTGGAAAAGAGAGTCGAGCGTAAGTCTGTTCCCACCATAAAACGCCGCCGTCATGTGTACACACCACTTACAACACACACTCTCCTCAGCTGATCTGCTCACGGACAGGTGACTGATTTATGAGAGGAAAGATACCAAAAAAAATGTTTATTTACAGCAGATGTTATTGGACGATATGGATCCTAAAGAGTTTCTATTTCAGGGCTACTCTGTAGAAACGCTGGTTGTTTTGTTGTAGTGACGCTGTAGCTCTGTGAGTTCTAAACAAATCAGCTTGTTCAAATGCAGAAAAGTTTCCCGGATTTTGTGAAATGTCAGCGCAGGATTTAAATGTGGAAATGTACTCCTAGAACCAGAAGCTGCCGTAAAAAACTTCACTGTTGATCTTATCGAAAAGTACTGACACTTCAATCAGGCTTGATAGAAGGTCTTTGGTGCTTGGACTCCATGTGGGGGGGTTAATGTGTTTGGAGACTGACAATTCTGAGCATCAACAGATTAATTCCCCCCCATGGAGTCCAGACCCTGGTGGTGGTGAGGCTGATGACTTGTTGGGACCGGATGGGTGAAAAGTTGATGGATGATGATTCTGTGAAGACGGGCGGTGATGGGGAGGACGAGGGGCGCATGAGACATTGGCATGAAGGAACTAAAGGCAGAGAAAGAAACATATTTAAAAGAGGAGCAGAACGTTGACAGGCTGACAATGAGGGAGGAACGCCATGCCATTGGTTAGATGAGGCCAGCTGATTACCCAATCACAGCCCCAGAAAATGACACCTCGAGGATGACAGCTGAAAATGTGAGCATGCGTGAGAGGGCATGAATAACGAGAGATGGACCCGATCTTGAAGGCAAATATTTAGTCGTCTTGACTGAACTTGCTCCAGAGCTTCATTTCACTCACACTTCATAAGACAGTCAAGGGGTGTCAGT